TTTTACCTGAGTCCCTCAGTCCACTGATTTCAGTGATCTAAATTATGTTTTTCCAGGAAGAGAAATTATCACAATACTTCTATTGTACTATCCTGGCACAACACGTTACACTTTTGTGCATTAGGTAGTCACAGGAGCAGATAATAACTTCCAGGGAGCTGCAATGACCAACCTATTTCCAAAGTTTTCTGCTATTATACTAGACAACACTGGTTGATGCAGTCAGTATTTTCATGCTAACATGCCAGGATTCAGTTAAAATAGTCTCAGTAAGCAACTGGCAACTCTGGAAAATTAAAATTTTATTAAGCTTCCTCCTTTTACTCTGGACTTGCCACACAACACCTTTTCAACGTTGGATTTACAGCTTCATGAATCCACAAGATGTACATTTGTGATGAAAAGTATTCATTTCATTTAATGCCATAGGTTTGTTTTTGCTATCAGTGGGTAGAACTTGCATTTGGCATCCCACAGTTTGCCTTTTTATCCAAAGCCAGGGGAGACGCAAATTGTACTTTCTGTACCAAGATAAGGTGGGTTTAGTTTCTGTGTTTACATCCTGCTTTTTATCCCTCAAGGCTGCAAAGGTTACATTACCCTGGCCTTGACACCACTGTTTAACCTTATTTCCATCTTTTCGTAAATCTCTGAATAAGACTTTTTTTCAATCATATCATAACTAATACTTTAACCAGCAGGTTTTCCATGAAGAGTCTGTGGTGTCAGACGTGTTCCACATTTCTTGAGCACTGAAAATTCTCCTTCCTCTATGTTAGACACTTTTGATTAATTTTTTTCTACCTTTTCTCCCTCTGCACTATAAATATATCTCAACAGAATCTTACTCCCAGTCTGACCCAAACTTCAGCCCAGACAGGTATAGTAGTAAATCATACCATCAACCCCTTCACTCCCTTTTCCTCCACAACTAAAAAAAAAGCTTCCTGCACATCTTCTTGCCTTCCACAACACTTGCTGCATCCCCAGTTTGAGAATACCTGTACTTGCCCTTATTACACACACATATTACACACTTCTTCATATATATATATGCCTATATATGAATACATGTATATTTATTTGCAGAATATTCATATATGTATATGTGTCTATGGAACAATCCATGTATGTGTATATTGTTGCACACATTTAGGTGGCTGTGGCAGGATGCAAAGCACTACACTCTACATTGCTGGTTTTTAACATCCTCCACGGCACATTTTTCCCAGTGCGTTCTCAGGGGTTGATTCTTTCTCTAATCCAATAAAAAAGTCAATAGTAAACATTGTATTTAACAGCCTGAACTACACATGGGGTATTTTACCAGCGTGGTTTTCAAGTGCACTTGAGTTTACCTTCTGGCTATTTTGAAGAATGAGTAACTCGTTCCACTCCATTCAGCAACATCCACTCCTCCCCCAGCCTCCCTCCTTTGGACTGATCACCTTTTAGAAACAAAAGAAAATGACCCACTTATATGGGAAAGAGGTGCATTCCCCAGCATTAAGTTTTTAGTCACCTTCTCAAGCTGAAAATGGCTTACTGGTAGTCTGGAACAAACTATTTTGTTAGTATATGAAACAGGAAAGGTAACAAAATGTTCCCTTGCATAATTTTCTACACAAATCAGCCTTGCCCTATTGATATTTGTTCAAAATTATAACATGCACCTATAAACAGAATCATGAGAACAGTAACTGAAAGATAGTTCCCAGACACAAAATATCACTTCACCACCTCTGTGACTCCACTTGCAGCTTTATACACCACTGAAAACAAAAATATCAATCAATTATCCTCCTTAAATGGAAGAAAAACAATAAATCTTTCCAGTTGTAGTTACTGGCTGTTTCAGAGGCCTGGCTTTGTATGTGGATAATTAGATTACAATCAATTAGTGGAAATATCCAAAATAAACAAGTCAAGACAACATCCAAGTTCCTGGAAAGTTAAGGTCTGCCAGCAAACCAAACACTTCAGCACTATTAAAGCTCTGCTCTTATTTTAGGAAAACAGCAACACTATTTTGCTCGCTTCATTTACAATATAAGGCTTATTTCTGCACTTTGTTTCCAAAAACACCACCAAGAAGGTCAAGCTCCTTTGAGGCAAATATTATTTCTGAGGACAGAATTTGCTTTCTGACACAGTTCTCTCTTCAGGGAGAAGACTGATCAGAACATGCATGTGTCTGATCATAAACCAGAGAAGTATGAAGAGTGCTGCTCACCCAAGGGGTTCTTGATTTAAGGGTCAGGGCATAAAGAATTAGGAAGAAATGGGGAGGATTGTTGGCTTGAACTATGTTCTGGTGAAAAAAATTACACTGCTCATCATAACTGATGTAGGGAGAGATGATGTAGGAAAAGTTGAAGTGCAGTTTCTGGCCTTCCACTCCCAAGGAGCTGAATTTTCCCAGCCTGAGCTGGAAACCTGCTGGCATGTTTTTAAGCAGGATTTTAAAGCATTCATCCTACTCTCACACCCTATTTACAGACATGAACTATCTGTATAACACAGAAGTGTATCACGTTGAAAATAAAGCTAAATTAATACTCAAGGGCATTGCTTTTGGAGCAGACTGTAGGTAGGAAAAGGGAACAGTTAACATTATTTTTTGTTCATGATGCCTGCAGCCACTGCAGAAGTATTTAAGCTGAAGTAGTAATTATGATACAGGGAAGCATCACAACTTAACAACTACAACTAACTTTCCATGGCACTGTTAGCTAATCCTGCCTGTATAGCTCAAATTCCTCCCATAGCTACACATGATCACCAGTTCACACAGCCAGAAACTGAATCTGTCACTGATTATGTTTGGGAATTTCTGTCATTAAATGCAATCCTTAAATCCTGCTGGATAGTGGTAAATTTAAGTGTGAACTTCAAGCTCTTCCACTCCCACAAAGTAACAAAAAGCAAGCAAAGTGCTGCTGCTTTGTGCAGCTATGAGAAGAACACACCACAGAGACTCCAGATGTTTTGACATTTTTTTCTAGAGAAAGAAAAGCAGCAACATACATACAACCTATATATATATATATATATATATATATATATATATATATATGCGCACACATACATATCTGTATATCTGAGCAAGGCTTAATGGATGTACAATAAGCACAGAGCAGCCTCTGAGAAGCAATAATTTCTGCTCAAGGCTCAGAAAATACAAGAGTACAGAGTTTTACCAGAGAACTATGCTTTATCCAGGCAACTGATTCTCACTAGGATGGGAAGAAAAGTATTTGACTGTAACCAGCAAGTTAACACTGTATGTACTTATGTACTATTAAATATTTAAGTTTTAAATATTAATTAAATATTAAGATGTTGTTACATTTTAAATATTAATTAACTGTTTAACATTTATTTATTACTTTACATGAATTCCCCAGTGTAGGAAAGAAGGGAAAAAAAAGAAAGGAAAAAAGAAATCATACTCAATTAGATTCTAACACAGTAAGTTCTCATTTCCTTGAACATGGGTTTTCCCAGAATGAGATTAAACTCAGGCCATATTAATTCACCAGTAAATTATTATTAATACATTTTCATGTATGTTAGCATAGCAATTCTTCTCCCTGCATCTTTAGCAATTTAGCACTTTGCTTCACTAGGTGTCTACAAGTCCTTCAATACATGTATCACTTCATCACTTCAGATGTATCACATCACTTCCTTTTCTCATGAAGGAAGAAAATTTTTTTCTCCCTCCATGATTGATTGAGAATTCTTCCAGCAACAGTTTAACCTGAGATTATACATGCTGAGTAAATTGAAAAATCACAGAACATGAGTTGTCTTTTCCTTTTTTCCAAACTATTCAACTTTCAAGAAGCAGACATGCTGTGCTGTTCCTGATAGCCTAAATATTAACATACAACTGGAGCCTTCATTCTACCATCCTGTTAAATTCATTGCTGAGCAAGTCAAAAGTGGATCTACAGATGCAGTCACTGAATAGGCAGTGATTGGCTTGGTTAAAGCACATTATCACCATCCATGAGACTGCAGCCTCTGTCACAGGACAAATTAGAAATGTCCATGTATGAATTCCAGCCCCTTTGAACAGAAATTGAGCCACACTTCTGCTCTCTATCTGCATTGCTTGAAGGTCACATGGATGGTCTATCTGCTGCATGTGTGGTCACTGCTAAACCAGACCAACCATACAACCAGCAGTTGTCAGATCAAACTCACCCCCACTTCTCAAAACTTGCCAAATGGAAATAAGGAAAGACAGCCCTATGTAGATTTCTACATCAAAAACTGTAATAGAGAGTTCAACACTAAGCTGCATGCTCTACTTCTAAATGTTTCTTGCAGGCTGTAATTCAACACACAAATCTACAAAAGGTCAGACCTTTTAGTACAAAATGAAGAAACAGTCACTAACAATTCGTTTGTCCCTTAGGCATGTCCCTAAGAAGACTTCCAGAGTTTTATCCCCTTCTGTCTCATACTTCTGACAAGCACAATAATTATTTGCTTCCTAATTTTGAAGGTGTTATCTCAAAATAGATCAAGGTCCTTGTCTTCTCACATCAACCTTGGCACTCTCACACAACAATACAGAGCAGTGAAGTAGCAGGCAAGCCTACACGCTGCCTTTGAGAAGTGGCACAGAGAAAAGTCTACTGGTTTTAAGACCCCTTGCTGAGTTTGTGGAGGCAAGATGGAGTGAAATTAGGCAGGCCAGTTCAGTGGCACATGGAAAATATCACAAGTACTAGCAGTAGAACAAATTGCTATCCACTTTGTCATGCTGATCTACAGGTACCTGTTTATCTTCAGAGCCTTTACTGATACCTTTGGTAGAGTTACACATTCCATTCCCAATACAAGTTACATTATCACACATTGCACTTACTACAAAGCACAAAAGTTGAGAAAAGTAGCCCAAAATAAACAAACCCTCCATCGACAAACTTTCTATGAGCTCATAATAATGAACAGTGTCTTATCCTTATCAACAGACGCTCTCTTACCTTTATCAAGAAAAGCTGAAATGTCCCTTTCTCCTATTCAGCTCTCAGGAAGAAAATAAATGAACTCCACCCTACAGGCAAAGAACATTTTTTTACTGATTAGTGATATTCTGAAAAAAGTTTTAAATCATTACAAAATAATACAGACCTTTCATTTCTTGGGTGATACTCAGGCAAAAATATGATGCTATCTTGAAAAACACCCACTGATGGCACATAAGTAGTTATGTATTTACTACCTTATTTTAAGAAATAACATGCAAGCATCTTATGAACTGCAGCCCACTAATGGCAAAATATTAAAAAAAACTAGTTTACAAGGAAAATTACACTTTTATATATTAGGTCTACTTCTAAAATGGCAATACTTCAACCCACTACACAATCTTCAACTACATTTTTTTCCTTTTCATCTTAGAGGCCCCAGAAGAATGACATTACAATACACATGACTAAAAATAATTCTGGAACCCCTAATAATTTACATATCTTCTAAAATAAGGATCAACACTCCTCTTTGTTGAAACAAATGCACAAACTCAAGCCCTTCCATGGAAGTAGGATGGGATTTTTATGGCAACAGAAGCTAGAAGTCTTAAGATAAGAGCAAGAGGTTCATAAGCAGTAGAGAAACTGAGATTCATTTATTCTGCAGTATAACCATAAAAGTGTCACTTTAAGCCCTTCAGTCAGCTGCAGAAGATGAAGACAAGGCTGGAAAATTAATCACAGAGGCTAGAAGCAAAAGAGAAAAAGAAGATAGAACAGCTGCAGAAGGATAACAATGAAGGCTGCTGGAGAAGAAGCATATTAAAGCTTATGTTGCAAAGAAAAGAAATTTCACTTGTTGAACAAAAGGCACAAGAGTAGAGAGGGAAGGAGAAAAGGAGGACCAGAGCCTCATTGTATTTTCTCTTTAATTAACTACTCAATTATTACACTAGAATGTGGAGCAGAAATTATTCATTTAGACAGCTTCCTAAAAAATTTACAATCATAGAATCACTTAGGTTGGTAAAAGACCTTTAAGATCATTGAGTCCAACCATAAATGTCACTGCTTATCTTATCTGAAGTAGTTTTACATATATCAACACCAATTCAAGAATTACATAATGATTCAAGCTAATTCCTCTCCCAAGCAGTGGCCAAATACTTATTATTTCATTCACAGTGCAACACCAAGAAATTTTACAAGGGCATAAATAGAACTGACTTGCTGATAGTGGGACAATTCAAGTAGCTGTCCTTGTTCCTACAGCAGGTTGGTCATTCTAGAGTTTTAATAACCTGATGTTTGAAAGGAAAAATTAATGTTGCTTGTTATTAAAGAAAATCCCCAGGTAATTAAGAGGCACCAATCAGATGTTATATTTTAAATATGCAACTAGCTTATAATGACATCATTATTTCACAGTATACATTACCATTTCCCTTTTACCAGGATAAAAGAAAATCTCCATGAACTTTGTTTTTATTCTGTAAACAGTCATGTATAAAAATCCTACTGAAGTAGCTGTGATCATTTGTTTTTGCTTCCAATTAACAGAGACCAGCTGCTAATGGTGAGTCTGTGACCCAAAAAATACCTCTAACTTTGATATCTTGGAAACTCACTTGCATCTCTAATATGCAACATGTATTAAAACTCAGAAAAAAATTACTGACTTCACTCAGTAAAATACACTGGAGAGATTTTGAAAGCTTCCTTTGCATTGCAGAGTGTTTCCAAAAGGGCACAAATATAAGGGATTCTGCTTTTTCACCTGCAATAATTTGTGCACATAAGGTCATATCTGTTCCAAAATACTCTGTTAAATTGTATTTACACCTCCTAGAGATTTGTCTGGCATTTACACAGAGTTACAGGTAGAAAAGGTTTGATTTAACAATTTATTTTCAATTCAATGTGTATCAGTATTTCATCACCAAATGATTTTAACAGCACACGTTTAACAAGATCAACTTTCAGCAGCATCAAAAACTTTGCCAAGTTAGTAAACTCCCTGGGCAAATTCTCCTGGTCTCTTCAGAGCATTCACACAGCTCTGGAGCTGCCCCAGCATTCTCCTTGCATCCAGCCTGTGCCAGGGACTGACAACCCTGACAGTGAAGAGCTTTTCCCCCATGTCCAATCTGAACTCATTCATATATGTTTGACTGTGTCCTCCTACACGGTTAAAAGAGGGGTGAGTACCTTATTGGGAGCTGACAATTTATGCAAGCAGTTACATTTCCACAATCTTTTTCTGAAGGAGTTTAAACAGGGTGGTTGGCAGTAAAGAATGACAGCTTCTTCCCTTCAGCTCCCACAAAGAGACAATAATATCCTCCTCAATTATGCCATGCTCAGCAACAGGCAAAAATGTCATAGGGATATTTTCACATAACTTTCCTGATTTCTAAAATCTCTGGAAACCATTTTCCTAGACCTTTTTACTCTTTTTCTCAACTCCATATTGCAGACACGAGGGATTGGCTTCAAGCAGGTAAACTACACAGGTGAATGTCCCCAGTAATCACAGCACAGCCTCTCCTGCTTGAAACAATTTACATTTATAGCCTTCAGGTATATGATTCTGTCTTATTTTTAAAGGAATCCTTAAAAGAAAATTTTTCCCATGCTAAGCTAATGCTAAACACACAAATGGTGATGTATTTTACTATAGACTGACAAGACTGGTCTCTCTTCCTGCTTTTTCCATAATGCTGTGTGTAAGCTCCCAGCTTGTTTGTCCTGTTTTGAGAAGCATGTTGTCCTATTTGAGAATGCTTCTCAGTCTTCTGCTTAACTGATATAATTTTTTTTCTGTGATCTAGAGGAGCTGCCTAGCAAACAAATGGTTTAGCTGGCATTTGACCATATATTACCTCTATGGGCTGGGTTAAAGATATACTGACCTTCCTTCATTTTATTCTCAGAAAGAAAAAAAAACAAGAATGAGTTAAAAAAAAAATTAAGCTGTACAGTTTACACTGTCCTTTATCATACCAATACAGCTGCAATTTGACATCCATGTGCCCGATCTCAGAACTGGTGTATCACCAATACAATGCCCATAAAAATGTGAAGAGGATTCAGTTAGCATTTACTGTACACTGTACAAAAAACACTTGTATAATTCTGAGCTAATTTATCTTTCCTCTTGACCCTGCAAAAATAGACACAGAAAGGTGAACTTAGTTCTGACCGATAGAATCCAGGATTTCACAAATAAGCTGATATTGTTACAATGTAAAGATAGGAAACACTACAGGAACCATAAAAATGTCCTGTTTCATAAGATAAGGAAGCTTTTTGCTACAACTAATATTTGTTTTGACTTCTTAAATGAAGCCAAGTAGTATTTTCATTGTTCTTTCACAGCTCTTTCAGAAGGAACAACAGCTCTGACAATCCAAGGACCAAAGGCTCCACAGCCACTGACAGGAAAGTGCCCTTTCCCCCTCCTGCCATTTGTCAGCCATACAGGCAAAAGCTGAGAGAGAAGCACAGATTGGAATGATTACACAGAAAGTTTGAGGCTAATTAAATACATTATTCAGCCTCAATAGTATTTGAAATCTATGGAGAAAATTAATAGGTGCCATTAGAAAGTTTCTAAGGGAGATAAATTACAGAAAAGTGTTACAGCATGAGGAATACATGATTTCACTTGAAGCAGTCTCTACAAGACAACAGCAGGAAAAAAAAAAAAAAAAAACAAACAATAAAAACCCCATGCACAGAAAACTTCATGAGTATCTTTTTGTACCATGTGTGAATATAACATACAGAAATATATGGTTTGATTGTAGAAACCCAGATAATTCTTCTGGACATCAGTTTTCAACAGTGGCTTCAGTTCTCAAATTACCCAACATTTTGATAGTAAGAAATCAATTCAATGCTTTGCAGCTGTCTCTACCTACCAGTTTTATAAGGGAAAATTAGGACTGCAGTACAGGCAAGAGGATGAGTAGGCATATCAATCTAATTACAAGTAGACAAAGAAAATTTAATCTGAATATAAATCAATTCCTCCCCTCCTAACAGACTACATGATTTCATATAACAGGATCACATAAGATACTGCTTTCACTAAGACCAGAGCAATTTGAAGTTTACAGTTTTTGAGTGGTATATTGGCGAGACAAGCAGAAGCTATAAATTATTAAGAAAAAAATTTTAAAAAATGGAAGATTCAGCAAATATTGAATTAACATGAAGCTTTATCTGTGAAGAACTGAATCTTGGAAGGACTAGATTCTAGCAGGAAGGTGTCACCAGTGACCACTATAATCAGTGACAATTGCGAAGTCTTAAATTCCACCCCCCATATAGTCAAACGCTAAAGGAAACTGCAGCACATAGCAATAAAATCTGCCGCCTTAACCATAATCCAGAGATATGGATAAACTCTTCTCCATGGATTTTCTAGCTTTCTTGTGGCTGCCAGTGTTTAAGTTGTCAGGAAAAACACAAGGCCCTTTCTTACAACCTTGTTACAAAATACAATTTTGCTATCCACTGAATACTTACCAATTTCAATGCATTTCTTGTTACTTCCTATTTTCTGTACTTAATGTGCCCCAAATTAGTGCCATCTGAGAGATTACCCAAGATGTAGGCACTAAAAACACCACAGGTGATCTGTGCAATGAAGCACTTGTCTTGCTCATGCTTTCCCACATTCCCCCATAACATCCTCTCCCTCTCTATGGCTCCGTGCCATTCAGGCATTCACTCACTGAGCCTTCTTTGCCCATTGTTAGAATGACAAGCACCTATCTAAACAGAGAGCATGAAACACGATCCACATGTTTTCAACTGAAATCCAACAAAAATGACACTTCAGGCTACCTTTGAAATAACATGTTCAAATACTTTCTTAGTACAAAAGGAGTAAGCTCTGCTCCTCCAGTTGGAAAAGTCCCTGCAAAGTCCCTGCAAGGATAAGGGACATGGGGAATTTGGCTTCCGTATTTGCTGTCACCGTTTCCATGGCACACAAGTACCACAAATCAGATGCTCAAGGAGTAAAGTTAAAGTCATCATTCATGCAACTAGTTCAGAGTTATCCCAGGATTAA